TAGATATCAGGACAGGGGTCAGGGTCAGGGTTCGTGGGGGCACATGGAGGGATGGCTTGGGGACTGGGTGGGCGCCGGTACCCGGCAGGGACAGAGATGTGCTGGGACACAAAGGGCGTTGGGGCTGGGACAACGGGGCGTGCGTGGAAATAAGCTTTTGCACGCTGGGAAATGTTGTTTTGAGGCTAAAGCACCTCGGCATGCTGGGAAATGCAATTTTGGGGGCAGCGAGGCATGCTGGGAAATGTAGTCGTGGGGCACAGAGGGATGCCGGGATGTGCAGTTCTGGGGTTGAGGCAGGGAGGCGGGCTGGGAAGTGCAGTTGTGGGGCGCTGAGGGACGCTGTGGGGCGCAGCCATGGGGTGCGGAGGGGTGATCCTCACCCCCGGATGAAGGCAGCCACTGTGTCCCCAGGCTGCAGCCGAGCCAGCCAGGTGGAGCAGACGCCATAGTGCAGCGGGCCCTGCCCGTCTGTGGGGCGAAAGACTTGTGGGGTGCTGGGCAATGGCAGACCCACAGGGGCGTGGGAATCCCCAAGTGCGTGGGGATGTGGGGTGTCATGGGGACATGGAGCGGCCATGGGGTCATGGGGGGTCACATGGGGTCATGGGGGGTCACATGGGGTCATGGGGGGTCACACGGGGTCACGGAGGGGCCATGGGGACACGGAGAGGCCATGCAGACATGGAGGCGTCCTGAGGACATGGCAGCGCCCTGGGGACACGGAGAGGCTATGGGGGCATGGAAGAGTCCTGAGGATATGGAGAGGCCACGGGGACACGGGGAGGCCATGTGGACACAGAGATGCCATGGAGACACAGAGAGGCCATGGGATTGGAGGCACCCTGCGACGTGGGGGTGCCCTGGGGGCGTCCAACCCGGGGGGAGCCCCAGTGGAGCGCCGTGCAGCCCCATCTCTCCCCCCAACCCCCCTCACTCTCGCTCTGGTAGGTGACCACGGCCACGGTGAGGTCGATGCGTGCATTGCTGGGGTCGGGCGCGGAGCTGACGGAGTAATAGCGGGGCTGCAGCAACGGCAGCTGGGAGAGCAGCAGCGAGGCGGGCAGCCCCACGGATGGGAACTCCTGCAGCACCTCCAGCAAGGTGGGGCAGCGGAACCACTTCCAGTCCTCGTACAGACGGGCGTCCTGCAGCACGCACCCGTGGCACGGCGGGCACCATGCAGCAGGGCCAGCAGCCCGGCCCCCAGCATCCCAGCACCACAACATCCCCAAAGCCCGGCAGAATCCAACATCCCCACAGCCAGGATTATGGCACTCCAGGATCTGAGCACCCCAGCACCCCGGTATCCAGGTGAGCAGCAGCCCAGTACCACAACGACTCGCAACTGAGCGTCCCAATACTGCAGCATCCCAGTACTGTCCCACCACCATGTC